TCGATCGACCCAGCCAACAACCACCCCCCCAAACATATCAAGGCATCCTCTCGTCCGATTCCGACTCCCGAGTTTCGTTCAAACCCACGTACTCAGACGGAGATCGAAACCAAAAACACTCCGAGTCCAGCATCCCCGATGGTCTTCGATGGACCCAACCTGCATGCTGATTCATGGACGAGGATGGCCGATGATCAACCGGATAACAATAATAGCAGGAGTGGGAACGGCGGCTCGGGATCGGAACTGCCGCCGAACATCTTATGGTCTGCCAGTCTGTCCGCCGGATTGGCTACCCTCTTGTCGTTCGTTCTTCCTTTCAATCTCTCTAACACGCTCTTCCTTTCTTTAGTAAACTCATTTTTTCTTTACTATTGTCAGATTTTGGTGTATCGTACAACAGTTGAGAAATTATCGGAAACCTATTCTTCAAAGATTTGTCGTTAGGATCTTGTTCATGGTGCCCAGTTAAGCACCATTCTTTTTCCCGTCCTGGATTTCTAGATATAACAAAATCCAACATTTTGCTGACCCTTTCTTTGGTGTGTGTGGGGTGGCTATCACAGTCTATTCAATATCGACCCTAATCTCGCTGTATTCACTGGATGCGGCATTCTTTATCGATTTAATTCGCGATATTTACGAGGCATTCGTTATCTAGTACGCCGAATATGATCTAGTTTTCATTTACAAAACCAGCCGTCAATCTCACTATTCATTGGACGTGCTTTTACAAATCGATCACTTCACGTTTGATCAGCTGTTTCTTCGGTCTCTTGGTTGAATATTTGGGCGGTGAAAGAAGCTTGTTGATTCTGATACATGGACGCGAAGTTAAGCTCGAAAAAACCACGGCCTTCATTCATTTACTTGTAAATTTGTCGTTACTGACGCATGTTTCTTCCTTAATAAATTCAAGCCGACTCCCCATCCTTGGCCTTTCTCAAAACTCCTCTCTCCAATCGACATCTCAGATCCGTACACATTTCTCAACATCAAACGCGGCATCTTTCGTAGGTATTATCTACCTTCCTCCTATAAAAACAAAACAAAGAACTCGTTGTCTAGATTTTTCTGCTTCAGCAAAAAAAAGTTACGGAATAGGGTTCTAATTAATTCTTCGATCAATCCAGAATATGTCCAGGTCAAACCGATCCTCGTGATCGTGACAGTGATTTTTAAAGCCACAAAGACGTATAATGACGGCGACTTGAAATTCACAAACGGGTACACCTATGTTAGCTTGGCTTACAATTTCAGTGTTTCTCTATGTTGAGTAGTTTTCGCTTCGATTTTCAAGTCCAATCATCGCCTTGGAGTTCTATTTATTATCACTCTCAAGTTGACTGAAAGAAAGAGGGAGAGAATTTAGCTAACTGAGGGTACCCTCACTTTCAACTCCTTCTGCTTATCAAATCTACCAGGTTTATACTGTCTTGCAGTCTTTTGGATGTGTACCGGGGCCGACTTGAAGCCGTTCCGGTGGGTGAATCTAGAATTTTCCAGCTCAACAAATCAATCCCAAGTCCCTCATCATAGATTTTCTTTTCTGTCGTTCAGGCCGATGCCGAAATTCCTTTGCATCAAGGGAGTGATTTTTTTCAGCTTTTGGCAAGGCTTTGGAATTTCAATCTTAGTAGCTCTCGGCCTACTCAAATCAGGTCAGTATAATACATAACTTCTCTCAGTCAAAACTGTTTTTGCTCAAAACACTGAATCCGATTCTTAAATTGATAACACTCAGCTCGATATCCCACTGAAACGCTTTCTTTGGCCATACAAGATACCTTGATCTGCTTCGAAATGCCCCTCTTCTCAATCCTTCACCTCTACGCGTTCTCACATAAAGACTTTATCGAACCCAATGTAGCCTATTGTGGACGACTACCCTTCATCCATGCGTTTCGAGATAGCATATTGGGATTCAAAGACGTACTAGAAGATACAGTGATGACGTTACGCGGCACCGGGTTTTCCTACAAAACCTTCGAGCCCGCCGAGGGTGCTCTTCATCATCACGGTATCGTGCGCGAACGACGGGTCCGTGCTGGACTTCGCTACAGCGCTGGTGGTAAGAAAAAGTATTGGTTGCCGATGGCGGGAGAGAATGAAGGCTCGGCTTATGGCCGGAAGTCGACGACTGATCAAGTCCCGGAAGCGCGGGACACTCGGTGGGCGAAGTTCGTCAACAAAATGACACCTGGGAAAGACGCCCTGGATAGCAAGTCGGGATACGCGCCCCTTTTACCCGAACAAGCAGCCGAGGTGGTTCATCGAGAAGGCATCTCTAATACTGAGGCCGAACGTCGTCCCTTAAATGATCACTTGATGGGGAACGTGGGTCGCTGGGATCTTGAGGGCTTTGGATATGGTACCAACGAGAACGACTCTGACGAGGGATCTGACCTTGATGAAGTTGCCTTTGGTGAACCTCGAGCGGAGGAGGAATTACTTTATCGTGATGCACGTCGATTGGCTTATGGTTAGTACATTGCTTCGATGATACAATTATAGCATGTACAGAAATGTTGATCTCTGTGTGTGTGTTTTTCCTGTTTTTATTAAACAAACTAGGTGATTACAACAATCCAGTGGTCGATGCCTCGGCGGAAGAGGCCAGTCGGCTAATGCGTGCCAGGGAAGATGGAATGCTAGCTAGCCATCCTGCGGCACCGGCAAACAAGAAAGGCAAAGCTCGACAGAAAGGATCCAGTGTGCCAGCTGGGACGGGCAGGAGGACGAGTTTACTGCATAACGATGAACTCGACGAGGGCCAACTCAGCCCGGTTGAAGGGCGTAGTAGACGTCTGTCGAGTCTGCTTCGATCACCGCCATCCAAACTGAAATCGAAGTCCAAGCCAAATTCGCATTCATCTTCTTTACCGGAGGGGTGCGTCGACTTGTTCATCGAGGATCGTGGGGCGATGGAAGAGCGGACCCGACGGAATCGATTGAAGGGGGAAGCCAATCGGTTCACGGGAGTCTCGCCGGAGAAGGTGTTCAAAGTGCTCCATCCGGACCTGACCTCGATCGATGAACATACCAGAGTGTCGATCGATGGCCCGAATCACAAGATGCTCCCGACCTCGGATCACAATCACGACGGCTCCAGAGTCGACTTCTCTATCGATATTGACCCTCAAAACCCCTCCTCCATTCACGACTCTGGCAACTCGCCTGAGGTCAAGATGGTCGTTAACTTGGAAGACAATCTGCAGGCTGTTCAGGTCGATCAGAAGGACTCCTCGTCTAACAGTCCCCCTAGTCCTACAACCTCTCACCACCATCGTTATCATAACCATGCTCATCAGCTTCAGACGCCAAATACTGATGGGGATCAAGAGTCTACAACTAGTCTGGAAACTCACTTCAAATCTCGCAA